GACTTTCCAACCTTTAACTGCTTAATAGCTAAACCAATTTCCTCCACAGTAATTAAAATATTCATCCCATTTTGTTGTTCCTCTGAAAGTATAGGAAAATGTACTGATTGTAAATATTTATCTATATCCAAACCCCTTATATTATCACTTGAATATAATTTTGTGTAAAAGTCCAAAAAGCTTTTTCTAATCAGATCTTGCTGAAAGACCTCAGTACCTTTATATTTTACTTTCTCTATGATTCTAGCTTTCTGTTTCTTTTGTAATTGATAAGCCAACCACCTCCCAGGCTTATTCGCATTGCAAAAAGTATTATGTCTCATATACAACAGATTGGTAGCCACCTGATCTGCCGTCAACATATTAAATTGTTCCTTAAGCATCTTTATGGATACCTTTAAATTATTATCAGTAGGGTTAAGAACCAACTGTTGTTCTTTTGATTTAATCTCTTCTTCTATTTCTCTACGTCTTTGTAGCCCTTTTTCCCTAAAAACTTTATTCAATTGAATCAGAATTCCCCTCATATATGCTTTGCTAGCATCCCACACCACAGACATCGATGTCCCCTTATTCATATTTATAGCAAAAAAGTCCTTTAAATGTTCTTTACACTTTTGTACAAACTCCTCCCGATTAAATAAGTTCTCATTCAGTCTCCAAGACCTTCTATTCCCATCTTCCGAATATAACTCCATCCACACAGGACTATGATCTGACAATGTTCTGGGAAAAATTTTCACCTTCCTCACTCTAGGGAGGAAGTCACTAGTAATCAAAAAAAAATCAATCCTTGAAAATGACTGCTGTCTATCAGAATAAAAAGTAAAGTCTCTATCACTTGTGTTCCTTTCTCGCCAAATATCAATAAGCTCCAGTTCTTCCTTCAAGTCAAAGAAAGTCACAGGTAGTTTAGTTTGAATGAAAGTTTTAGAGGAACTTCTTTTGTCTATAGTTGGGTCTAAAACCCCATTCCAGTCACCCATCAAAATTACCGATTTATAATCCAACTGAGATATCTTACCATGCAGCAATTTATAAAATTGTTTCTGTTGTTGATTGGGAGCATATAGTCCAACAATAAGAACTTTTCGGCCTTGTAATAATAATTCCACAAAAAGATATCTTCCTTCAGAGTCAGCCTCAATTAGTTTAGCTGAAAAAGTTTTCTTCACATAAATTACCACTCCCCCTTTTTTCCCAGGGGCTGGAGCAATAAAATGTGAGCCCAGACGGGAATTCATCAAGAATTTAGAATCCTTTAAGGTTATATGAGTCTCCTGTAAACATATCAAATCATTATTATGTTGTTTCAAATAATGGAAAATCTTTCTTCATTTCTGTGGCACATTTAAGCCATTAACATTCCAGGTCAGAAACCTGACCATCTCCATGCCTCTGGAGCATGGCCTGCAGATCTGCTGGCGAAGATCTTTTTGGTCTTGCCCCTCCCACAGGCTCTGTAGCAACCAAACTTTCATCACTCTTCTGCAACTGCTCTTTTTCTTTATGTTTATGGGCAGCTCGTGTCATCCTTTGCTCTTTTATGTCAGAATTCTGTGCAGCTTGTTCCATAACCATCATTGATGAGGCTCCTGCCATAAGAGGCTCTTCCGTTATCCTTATTTGTGGAGGTGGTGACAATCTTACTTTTAAGATAGACTGGTAAAAATCTCTTGCTTTGGAAACAGTAGTTAATCTGTGACGTATCCCTTCATAATTTACTATTATTCCTCTTGGAATCTCCCATCTGAACTGAATTTGACGATGTTTTAGCTCATCAGACAAGAAAGTAAAATCTTTTCTGGCTCTTAAAATTTTTGGAGGTATCTCTTTTAAAATTATCACATCTTGATCAGCAATTTGAAACTTTTGTTTGTAAAAAGCCTGTATAATTTCATTACGAAAATTGCCACCATTTCTAATGCCAGTGGCATTGTCAGGATTGTCTCAACATGATGCACATTGACCAAACAGTACCAATAGGAAAAATGGCATCTGGCATCACTGGTATCAACACCTGCACCCCCACTAGACACCTTCAGCACCTTAATGACCAATCACCCAAGCTACACCAGTCTGACAAGCTTTCTTCTCATTGCAAACAGCCTCAGCAAAACTCCCACTGCTTATATAGATTTACAAGAGCAAGAGGTGTGCATTAGCTCTGCACCTTCATACCAAACAGCCCAAGAAGAAATACTAGGTACATAGCCCAGCTCATTTAGCTTGGAGTCCAGTCCAATTTGTTAATTGCAAAATGAGTAAAAAAAAAAAGGCTAGGTAAATGCAGAATCTATCTAACTAACCAATTAACCACATAGTTCAATCTGCCCTTAACATACATACATCCTTTGAAACATACTAATGTGAACAGACCCTACAACACACATTCACCACTTACCACCACCCACTCCTTAGACTCATATTTCCCCTGGTGACTTAATGCTGTTTTGCAGGGATTCTGTGGAATTCTGTGGTTGGATCCTAGCAGTGATTAATTCTTCTTTGAAAGAAGGGGTTATTGTACAAGCATCCTTAAGGAGGCTTTGTTTGCCCCTCCTTAAGAAACTATCACTGTATTGAACCTCTGTTTTTTTAGGAATGATGTTGGAAATGGTGGTTGCATAGCAGCTTCAATGGTCCTTAAATGAGGCAGCTTATTTGGATCTCTTTCAATAACGATTCAGCCTGGACATGGAACAGAGATGGCACTGGTTACATTTTTAGAACATCTTTGATGGAAGTGGAAGCAGGACAGGGGTAGTGCATCCATCCTTGATCTTTTTGACCTCTCTGCAACCTTTGGATACCATCAACCATAGTATCTGGATTGGCTTCATGGGTTGGGAGTGAATCTAGTGGGAATATTGCACTGGTTCACTTCCTTTTTGCAGAGTTTTACCAATCAATGTTAACTGAGAGAAAGAAATCCTGTCCTCAGGGTTCCTTACGGTTTGATATCTTTCTACTCTTATTGAACAACTACCGGAAGCTACAGAGGGAGTTCATCCATTGACATGGAGTAGGATAAGTTGATGATACTCAGTTATGTAGCTCTGTCATTAGTGATGTAGTAGATGTCTTATCCTAGCGCCTGGAAACTGTAGGGGTTTGGATGGGGAACAACAGATTTCAGTGAAATCTAGCAAGATTCTTTAGTTCTGTAGTACTGGATGGGATGGCATTGCTCAAACAGACCATAGTGTGCAATCTGAGGTCCTTCTAGACATGACTCCTGTTCAAGGAGCAAGTGGCAGTTGTGGCTGGGGACAGGGGCTTTTCACAACTTCATGTTTTTGCCAATACATTGCTTCCTAGAACATAAGGTTCTGTTCATAATCACTCATGCCCTGGTCATCTTCAGAATGGATTACCGTAATGTGCTCTACATGGGATTGTCCAGTGATGGGATTCAAATATGTGAGCAACCGGTTCTCTGTGTGGATGCCGTTTCTGGAAGTCCATTCTGGGCCTGGGCAACAAAAAATTAACTTTTGGTTCTGCCGAAGTGGTGCGAACTGGCTGAATCCCACCACTGGGACTGTCCCTGAAGAACATCTCAAAGCTTCAACTGATGCAGAATGTGAGTCTGCAGTCAGTTGGGTGCTCCTAGGACAGAATACATTATACCTCTGTTCTGTCAGCTGCATTGGTTGCAGTTTGTTTCTTGGTACAAGTGAAAATGTTGGTTTTGATCTTTAAAGCCCTACATTTGAGGGACTGCCTCTTCCCTGTTATATCTAACCACCCACCTGGTCAGTAAGAGAGATATGCTCTGTGAGTCCCCAAAGGAGCTCTATCTGGTGGAACCAGGCAATATGTCTTTTCTGCTGTGAACCCAGCAAAACCCTTGAAACATCTTTCATCCTGAGGCGAGGTTAACACCATCTCTGTCAATCTTCCAGAAAGCCCCCTAAAACATGTTTTTTTTCACAAGCTTTGGGGATCCCAAGGACAGCTTGCAAGATGGTTGTATGAAATTGATGTTTGTTCTCCCACTTTCTTGGGTTTTGTTTATTTTATATGTTTACTTTATTTATTATTGTTTTTAGATAGTTATTGAGTTTTTCACTGTTGTGTTGCATACTACCCAGAGTCCGTTTGTGAACTTGGTGACTATATAACAATGCTTTTAAAAAGTCAAAATGTGATTTAGTAAACTCACCTCTTCTTTTTTTTTTTTTTTTTATTGAAAGTTTTATAAATTTTACAAAAAAGGAAAAATAATACAAAACAAGAGGCAACATATACAGAAAAATAAAACTAAACAATACATATATTAAATAAAAAAAAAAAACCCCATCCCCCAGCCCTCCCAAAAAAAAAAAAAAAACCCTCCCTTCCCCCCCCCCCTGAGCTTCCCAGAGCAGAATATAGGCTTAAAAAATAAAAATAAAAATTAAATTAAAAACTTTATATTTATATATATAAAAAAATTATCTATAATATATATGAAAATAAAACTTATGAAAAAACTATATAATATTTTTGTATACCCAATCTAAATTGTATAAATTTTATCCATTTATCCCAAACAGCAAAAAACTTCTCTTGCGTTTGTTGCTTTAAGAAAGCCGAAATCTTTGCCATTTCTGCCAGATAAGCTACTTTAAGAAACCATTCCTGCAATGTAGGCAAAGATTCCTTCTTCCAGTATTGTCCTACTAACAGCCTAGCGGCTGTGATCAAGTTTAACATCAATACAACCTCCTTTGTATCACAATCTGTAACAATACCTAACAAAAATAATTGCGGAGTAAATTTTACCCTCCTTCTAAAAATTCTCTGGATATTCCACCATATTTTAATCCAAAATGCTTTTATCTCTCTGCATGACCACCAAATATGATAATAGGAAGCCTCCTTATAACCACATCTCCAACATTTGGGTTGCACGTCAGGATACATATAAGACATTTGTTGTGGATCAAGGTGCCATCTATAAAACATTTTATAAAAATTCTCCCTTATTTTATAAAAATTCTCCCTTAACTCACCTCTTCTTTCACACTGCTTGGAGAGCCCTCAACCTGTACGCTATTTTCCTGAAGGGAAAATATTTGTACAGTTAAAATTAAGGTGGTCACATTATGTAATCTGTAATAAAAATATGCTAATATTTGTGTAACCATTGAATAAAGTCAAGGCAGTACTTACATATTCTCAAATAATAAATTATTAATACCTAAACAATATAATTCTTGAAACAAAATGTGTTAATATTATTGATAGCAAAAGTGCTTTATTAAAACATGTGAAAGAATAAATTTAATTATTATTCCAAAAGAATTAATTTAATTTAATTGACAAGAGTTTCTATTCAAACAATATATAACAAATCCTCATACTGTACACTGGGGTATGCAGTAGATCCAGAGTGGGAAAGATGCCTTATTTCTGGCAGAAGCACAGATAGACATGAACCTTTTAAAAAAGATTTTCAGACTCCAAAATAAACACAATTTTGATATACATTCACAATTTAGATATATATTTCAGCAACTGAAAAGAAAATTAATCCATAATGTATTAAATAACCTAATCTAGATTCCCCTAAGACCTACATGTTTTTAACTAATCTGGTTGGAACCTACTGGGATTACAGTGTTTTTACATTATGAAACTTCCTTGACGGTCTACATCACTGCTGGGATTTAAATATGTGAACAACCGGTTCTCTGGGTGGATGCTGCTTCCGGAATCCATTCTGGGCCTGGGCAAGCTGCCGGTTCTGCCGAAGTGGTGCAAACTGGCTGAATCCCACCACTGGTCTGCATCAAATTCATTTTCCACAACTAAACAACACAGTGTTTTAAACTACTTAAAAAAATACTGATAAGTCCCAAGTATGTAGATATATTCACAATACTTTAAATGGACAAAATGAAAAACAATTTCAAAATCCAGACAAAAGTGAAATTTAAGCTTTTGGAATATTATAGTAATTAATTCTCAAGATTAGCCATACCAGTTGGAAGAGTCAGTAATAATGTGTATGTGTAGAAAAACAACATATATTCTTTTTTTTTGTAATATATTTTATTGATTTTTTTAAAAAATCACTTAATAGTGTGTTGCCTGGGTTACATTTGTAAAACAATTATTAACAATTGATTTCTATAATCTATAATCCACATAATGGTTTTAGTTGATTTCCTCTTTTCCCAAAATATCCTCTTTTGCAAATATTGAGTTAATACAGTTCTTATTGTTTTGATAGATAACAATTAAATATATAATTTTTCCCAATATTCCTAAAAATAATAATCACATCTATATAATATTTCTTTTCTATCCAATCATTCTGGTTGCCGTATCATAGATCCTGTTACAGTCCTTATTTTAATTTGTTTCTCCCACCAAATTCTAGATATTCTTACTGGTTAAGATTTTCTCAAAAATTAATTACATTTAAAAATTTAACTCTATTTTTCCATATGAACCATCTCACACTTTTACATTTCTTAAGGAATAGATAAAATAATGAAAAAAAGAAAGGAGAGCAAGAGTAAAGAAACATAAAAAATAACATACTACATATCCCTCCTAAACTAATATACCTATATTTCCTAAATTTCTTATTCTTTTTAACTGTAATTAAAAATGTTTAATCTTTAAACATTCCATTTAATACATCTAGTCATCTAGTCCTTTAACTCTTATTCAAAACATTTTAATCCATTATAATTTTTTTAAATTCAATCACATTTAAGTATCTAAAACATTTCCTTTATCTAAATCATTTCAACTTTTTTTTACTTATATCAAGAAAGAGAACAAAAAAGGCAAAAAAGCATACTATATTATTTAGGGAATTCATCCCTCTTAGAATGACATATATATTCCAAAACTTTTCTATTTCTTTAACCATAATCAAACAAATGTTTCTTTTTTATGTATTTTCTCTTGTAAGTCCCAACATCTATTTTCTTGGTTTCCACTTTAGTCTTTTTCCTTTGCCCAATATCTTTCTTAATCAATGTATTTTGCTGAATCAAAGTGTTTCTGTATGTTCGAAAATGTTGCTATAGATATAAAAAGTAAATCAAGTGAAATGTCTTTGTACAGGGCTTCTGCCTTTCCATGTTTGTTGAAAATCTTTTTTTTCCTCCGATTCCCTTACCATTTCCTTTCTCTCCAATGTTCCTGACATCTGTACAGTCCATTTTATCTAATCTGTTTTCTTGTCCTCAGATTTATTTTGTGGTCTTAAGGAATAAGTTGTTTTTTCCAATTCTTGTGAATTTTTTTCTACTAGCATTAAATCATGTTTCTTTGTTTTGTTAAGCTCCATCTTTAAGTCTCCATTCTCAATTCTATATCCATTCTATATCTGGGACACTATACATCCTCTTCACAACCTGTTTTCCTTGTTATCTTCTGGGAGGAGACTTCGTGGTATCCATAGCAGAACATCCAGATTCAGCCATAGTTTCATCCCATACAGCATTAAACTTGTGAACTCTCAAGCTTCCTCCTTCTGTTATATATTCAAGATGGACAGTATTTAATATTTATTTGCTACGTATATGTAGGGATGTTGGAATATTCATGAGCAGGAAGAGTCATGTGGTAACTCAGTCAGCCAATGTGAAGAAAGTGCTACTGAGTCTGTGCAAAAAGAGTATTGAGTTAGGAGCTGGATTTCCAGTCTCAGGTTTGTCTCTATATCTCTCTGTAAGAAGTCTTCAATTGAGCTATGTTGCTGTAAAGAAGAATGTATGGTATTGTAAATATTTTGATATAAATATAAAGAAGTTATTTTGAATCAGCTAAATGCAGTCAACTGAGAGTTTTTGATTTATTTTTTCACCAACAGAGAAATTAAAATTCTCTAAAGATTATGGGCCCAGAGCTTACTAAGGACTGCATTGTAATTTAAAGCTGGAAGAAATTGCCTGTGTTTAGAAAGTATAAAAACAAGGCAGAATTAGCAGAATGGCTGCAATGGAATTTAGGGAAACCTCTGTGCCTTGTTTGGGCCAGAAGAATTACATTATATGGGCTGCAAAAATCGAATGTTTGCTCAAAGGAAAAGAGCTGTGGTATATTGTAGAAAATCCACCACAAGTATTTGCAGCTGCTGATCAGAAAAGTCATGATCAAGCAATGGCTTATCTCATCTTGAATTTAGATGATGAACAATTTCTAAATGTTGCAAATTTAAAGACTGCAAAGGAGATTTGGTTGAAGTTAAGAGCTGTGCACATGAATGTTTCTATGTGCAATATAGTGCAATTGTCAAGAAAACTTTACAGGGCCTGTTTGCAACCAGGTGAATCTGTGGAACAGCATTTAAATAAAATGCAAAGTTTATTTTTTGACTTAGAACAACGTGGGAATAAATTTCCTGAGTCCCAGAAGGTTTTATTGGTGTTGAACAGTTTAGATAAAACCTGGGACACAGTTTCTGCCATATCTGAATGTAAAGAAGAGCAAGTTTGAGGCTTTAAAGACATGTTTGCTTAATGAACAAGAAAAGCGCCATTTTAGAACAGCCACAAGGAGGTGAAATTCCTGAGGAGGGGGTCCAGACTGCAAGTCTCCGAAGAAGAAACATTTTGCAGGCAGAGAGCTAAGCAAGAAAAGAATTGCTACATTTGTGGAGCAAGCAACCATCTGAAAAGGAACTGTTTGCAAAGGAACAATTTGCAGCAAAGGACATTTGTGCAACCAAAAAGGACTAATTTGCAAAAGGAGCATTTTGGTGTTGCAAAAGTTTGCTATAGCAACAATAGAGACAAGTGGATAATAGATAGTGGGGCAAGTCAAACAATTGTTCATGACTCTGAATTATTTTGCAGGTTTGTTCCAGTAGCACAAGAAGCTGTGGCTTTGGCAAATGGTCAGAAAGCAAAAGTCATTGGAAAAGGCGATGTAAAAATTCCATATTTGGAATCAAAGTTTACCAATATGCTTTGTGTACTTGAGATGGAACATAATTTGTTAAGTGTGTCTAATTTAGACAAACAAGGTTTTGAGGTCATTTTTGTAAATGGGAAGTGTCTCATCAAAAGGAATGGGAATATTTGTGCAGAAGGCATAAAGGAAGATAATCTATTTGTATTGCAGGGACAAAAGGTTCAATGTTCCCATATATTTAAGAATGTTGCAGAGCATGATTCATGTGTTCACCTTCTACATAGAAGACTTGGCCATGCAAGCTTTAAAGTTTTGCAGCAAATGCAAGATTTTGCAGAAGGGCTAAATTTGAAGGGATGCAAAACATATTTGGACTGTGCAGTATGCAAAGCATCGAAGTCAAAGGTATTCCCAGTTAGTAAATGTAGCACAAGACAGACAAAAAGAGTTCTAGAGCTGGTCCATGCAGATCTGGTGGGACCTATGCAAGCCAGTTTGGGAGGAGCAAAATATGCACTGTTAATTGTTGATGATTATAGCAGGTATAGTTTTTGCTACTTGCTTAGAGCAAAGACAGAGGTGCTACAACAATTCAACAAGTGTGTCAGTTGCAAACTGACAGAGGTACTGAATTTATGTCAACTAAATTCCAACAATGGTTGGGGCAGTTGGGGATAAGACACAGACATACAAATCCTTACACAGCAGCAGAGAACGGTGTAGCTGAAAGAAGGAATGGTGTTTTGCAAACAATGAAAGATTCATTATTAGAAGATTCTGGTATGAGCAGGTCATATTGGGGAGAAGCCATATTGACTGCCAATTATATATAACAGGCTGTGGAGTTCCTCCATTAATAATACTCCATATGCCATTCTATATGGGAGAAAGCCATCACTGGCACATTTGAGAATTTTTGGAAGTACTGCATGGGTACATATTCTGAAAGCAATCAGAAGAAAGGGACAGCAAAAGGCAAGAAAGCTCAGGTTTGTGGGCTATGAGCCAGGGTCAAAAGGATATCGCTTTAGCAATGGAAGTAAAAGAATTGTAATTTCAAGGTCTGCTAATTTTGCAGAACAAAATTGGGACAGAATTAATGCAAATTCTGGGTATGTCTCACTTAATGATGGTGATCTATTTAATGACAATAACTCATCTAATGATAAAAAAAATGATTATT